CCCGCCGTGTCCTGGCGTGTCCCCCCGTGTCCCCCGGTGTCCCACAGCTCCGGGGGGGTCCCGTCCAGCCCGTGTGTGTCCCCCTCTTTCCTGCTGTGCTGTGTGGGGGGGGCCGGGCAGGCTCGCCACGTGACGTGTGTGGTTTGGGTTCTGCCGCTTCCTCCGCTCGCCACGGCTTCCTGCGGGCCCCGAGAGCCCCACGAGGGGCTGGGGGGACACTGGGGAGTCTGGGAGCTGGGGGAACTGGGAGCACTGGTGCTGGGTACTGGGAGCACTGGGAGCACTGGTGCAGGGGCTGCTGGGGCACGAGGCTTGTCTGCGGGCTGGGGTGACTGGAGGTTGCTGGTGTAAGGCACTGGTGTGGGGACATGGCAGCACTGGTGTCACTGGTGTCACTGGTCACCCCAGTGTCACTGGTCTTACCAGTCGCACTGATGGCACTGGTCTCACTGGTCTCACTGGTGTCACTGATGTCATCACTGGTGTCCCTGGTCTCACTGGTGTCCCTGGTCACACTGATGGCACTGGTCTCACTGGTGTCCCTGGTCACACTGGTGTCCCTGGGGTGTCACTGGGGTGTCCCTGGTCACACTGGTGTTCCTGGTCTCACCGGTCACACTGGTGGCACTGGTCTCACTGATGTCATCACTGATGTCATCACTGGTGTCACTGGTGTCCCTGGTCACACTGGTGTCCCCGATGTCCCTGGTCACACTGGTCTCACTGATGTCACTGATGTCATCACTGGTGTCGCTGGTCACACTGATGTCCCCGGTGTCCCTTGTCACCCCGGTGTCCCTGGGGTGTCCCCGGTGCCCCCCGCTGTCCCCGGGGTGCGCGGCCCCTTTAACCCCCGTGTCAACAAACCCCCCCCTCCCTCCGCCAGCGCCGTGACGTCACACGCGTCGCGCAGAGGGGCGTGGCCTGCCCAAATATTAGGGGGGGGGCCGACCAAAATATGGCGCGCGCAGGCCCTGGGGGGCGTGGCTTCACATGGAGAGGCGTGGCTTGAGCGGGGGGGGCGCGGCGTGTTCAATTGGGGAACGTTATCTGTGCATTAAAGGGGCGTGGCCTGCCCCGTGGGTGGGCGTGCCCCGGTGGCGGTGGGCGCGGCCCCGCATGCGCGGTGCGCGCGGCGGCGCGGGGCGGACGCGGCGGGCCCGGGCCCGGCGCAGCGGGGGCGGAGGCGCGAGCGGAGCATGAATGGGGCAAGATGGCGGATCATGTGCAGGTGAGGGCGGCGGGGGGGGGGGGGGGTGGGGGGGACACGGGACCGGGGGGGATCCTTCCATCGTGCGCGCACACGCGGAAGGGACCTGACCGCTACACACACCGCCTGCCCCCCCCCCCCCCCCCCCCCCCCCCCCCCCCCCCCCCCTCCCCCCGCCGCTCCCCCGCGCGGCCCAGCCCAGCCCCGGCACGGCCAGGCCCGGCAGGCCCCGCGCGCGGCCCAGGCGGCGGCGGCGGCGGCGGCACGACAGGCCCCGCGGCCCAGATGGCCCTCCGTGTGTCCCCGGCCCTCCATGTATGTCCCCGGCCCTCCGCGTGGCCCACCGTGTGCCACTCAGCCCCGCTGTGTTTACCCCCGGCTCGCCCCGCCGTGTGTCC